TTTCCTCCCCAGAGTGGGAAGAAGTCTGGAAGAGCAGATGGCCCGTCAGGAAGCTAGGACTCCCCAACTGCCTGCCTACTGTCCCGGGGCTGCAAAGAAGACAGCCAGCCTAGCCTGACAGATCTGCAAAGGCTATTGTGTCTACAACTGTACTCTGAGCCTCTCAGCAACCTTTAGAAGGCAAGATCTTTCACTCACTCACTCACTCACTCACTCACTCACTTATTCATTCATTCATTCACAAAATAGATAAAGTCAGAGTCTTACATCACACTCGAATCTACCAAGCTATTTGTACTGCCTTCCCATGCAAATGACCTGAGTTATACACCTAATCAGCCCAGCCTTGAGCCTGAGACTCAAGACAGGTAGCTTCCATGGTCTCTTCCAGTGGGCACATTAATCTGCAGAGCAAAAACTCTAGGCTTGACAGAGAGGGGCTTGGCTGTCTTGCTGATTCATTTAAGATCTGATTCTATGTACCATATCCCCATGGTGAATGTAATCATCATGTATTGCAAACATGTACTAATAAAAATAAAAATTAGAAAAAAAAAGATCTGATTCTAGTATAGTGTAGGATGGGGATGGTCTCTCTCTCTCTCTCTCTCTCTCTCTCTCTCTCTCTCTCTCTCTCTCTCTCTTTCCTCCCTCCCTCCTTCCCTCCCTCTCTCCCTTCCTTGGTTTTTGTGAGACAAGGTCTTGCTGTCCAATGCAGGCTGGACTTGAACTCACTGCATAGCCCAGGTTGGTCTTGAACTCACAGCAATCTTTCTGCCTCAGCCTCCCACTGCTGGGATTTCCGGTTGTATGCCACCGCACTCAGAAACGTTCCTCATTAAGTCCCTTGTGACTTTTAAAGCTTTTAGAGCTTTAAACCCAGTTCCATTTCCCCAACACTTATCTTCCCTTCTTCCTCCTGCTTCTGCTCTACAAATCCCATTACCCTGTGGTTAGTAACAGCTGTACCTCCCCAGGGTTTCACCTGCTTAGCCTCTGTGCAGCTGTAAGAAGGCATTATTTACTTCAAAACAGCTTTGCAAATCTAGACATTCCAGAGGGTGACAGATACTCAGGTGGAGGGAAGGGAGGAGAAAGTCAGTGGCGGAAAGAACAGCTAAGAGAATTGGAGGTAAATCCCAAACCAAGGGGCCAGGGAGATGGCTCATAAGCACTTCCCTGGCAAGCACAAGGGCCTGAGTTCAATCCTCGCTTCCACCAAAGGGGAAAAAAAAAAAGAAAACCCAAACTGAAAAGGCTGCCTTCATTTTAACCATGGGCTGCTTAGTCTTTTCTTCGGCCACCATGAACCTACTGTTGCCAGGAGCCCAAATGCTCCACAACCTAGAAGTTAAAGAAGGTGAATCACTCTCATGAAACAGTCAGTCTTGAGCGTCCTGGTTACTCATTAAAGACATACATTTCCCTGAACCTGGTGAAATCAGATCACTAGAAGAGGATCTTGGGATGTGTACTTTTACTATACTCCATCCAATTTTGAACAGCTAGCTGGGAGGAGCTGAAAGAATCATCCTTTCCAGTGAGAGCAGCCCAGTAAATATTCCAACATGGGAGCTGTTTAGCTTTCTAATTGGAGTCTCATTTTTCTCATCTGCAAAACAAGAGTCATAGTGTCTACTCTGGAACATTATGAAAAGGATATTAAAAGCCATCTAAAGAGAATAACAAAGGTCGGGACATATACTAGGTGTTTGCCCCTAAATGTTTGTTTTCCTTTGACCTGAAGACACTGCGGAAGTACCAACAGCTTGGGCAGATCAGATCCGGTGGATTACTGCTTTAGCTTCCACCCCTCTGTAACTCCTGGCCAAACAGCCACTGAGCCTCTTCTGAGCCCCAACAGTGACAAAAGATCAAATTTACTCATTCTGGAAGTAGTCCATTCCATTTCAGACAGTTTTCATCATGAGCTCTTTCTACCTAAGACTGTGCTGTCATCTTGGGTGACAGAGCAATTCTAATCCCTTTTCCACCTGATAGGGGGCACCTCACTTGAAGAAAGTGAGGGGGAGGAGGTGGGGAGGGAAGCTCATTTTGAACATGCTGCTTAACTGAACACTGGGAGGGCAGCTTTATATATGCACAAGTCCGGCAAGTCTCTGATATGCCAGTCTAGAGTTCAGTATAGAGATCAGGGCTGTCATTTACAATGGCAGGCTCTGAAGCCTTAAAAATAAATGACATTACCATGGGGGGGGGCAGAGCTAATGAAAGGTATTTAGGAATGGTCAGCGACAGACAGGAAACCTTTAAAGAAGAAAGCAGATAACTTGTGGAAAGAGACGTAATAAAGGTATCAGACCAGTGTCAGAGAACCAATAAAACAATCACTGAATTCAATGACCAAAAGGTCACCACTGATCCCTGCCTGATGAAGAGTTGGGCCTCTTCTCCTCTGGAACCTTCCAGGGCTGCTAGAAACCATAGCATATCCTGAAAAATTGGTGTTATTTACCATCAGGCTGCTGAAGTTTTTGGAAAAAGTAGAAGAAGCACATAAAGATGACTCTAACATCTCCTAGCCTAGATATAAGACAGGAGTCTCCGAACAAGACTCCTAGGTTCAAATCCTCTGGGGAAACACTGCCCAAACAGACCCTTTTGGCCATTAGGCACAGTAAAGAACCTCATTTTTCTGTTTAAGTCTACATTTGCCCAATGTCCAAAGAACTGATTTTTCACACAACACTTATTAACATCTTGAGGAACTAGTGTTTCCTGGTTCAGTATTTGGCAAATGCAGCAAGCAAAGGAAGAGGGCAAAGATAATAGTCTAAGGGGCTCTTAGTATCATCAGGTTTTTTTTTCTTTTTAAGAATAGAAGAAAGTTACATATTTCACATGGAAAAGAAAAATAACCACACATAGAGTGAAAGGATAAAAGCGGGAAGAGAAGGGAAGAGAGAGACTCCGGCTCTATATAGGAGTTAAGTTAGCCTAGCAAAGGACCTCAGCTCACGGGTCATCAGACATTTGCCCTGACGGAGTCTAGTGATCACAAACAGTTTCTATTCTAAACCATCTCTGCTTTTCTCAGAGGATACAGATGTCACCTAGACAAGGTTAACTATAGACAGATTATATAAAAGGATTAACTAGAACCAGTCATAGTCTCTCTTCTCTGCCCCAGAGTTAGGTTGACCGTATTTCCTGCCTGGGCCACACAAGGTGTTCTAGATTGAGAGCCAATACCACACTTGCCCTGCCCAGGCAGGGCACACTCTAACACAGGATAGGGGGGAGAGGAGGGATCTAAAAATAAAGCTTTCGAAAGAAACTGTCTTGCCTAAAGAGCAGCTTCCCACACACATTGGAGTGCCACATCTGCGGGGGCTAGAAGCACAGGAACGGAACAATCCTGACCAAGTCACATAAGTATTACCCGTTTGGGCGATGACAGCACATTTCTGTTTCCCCCATGAGTGGCCCAGTGTCTAGGCTGCAGACAAGGTACAAATATAT